AACATTTCTTCAGAGTTTCATGCTGAAATCTGACAGCCCAGAATTTTGGTTTGCATATACAGTATATGAAGAAGGGTTGTCCCAAAGGTGCTTTTCCAAAAAGCAACTGGACTTTTCTGGGTTCTTGTTCTTCTTGAAAACGTTTTGCTTCTCATCCAAGAAATTTCTTTGTGAACTCCACAAGAGGCATCAACCAACCTGGCTCAGAGCTTAAGTGAGCAGAATGAGTGGGTGGAAAACACGCACGCAATGCCAAGCTCTTGGATAGACTGGGAAGCAAAACAACAAAATGAAATGAGCAAAGGCAAAAACAAGACAGTCCTGTAGCTTTGGGAAGAAAACTGTGTGGGTGCAGTCACACCTGGAGTTTTGGCTGGACTTGTGTTTTGGGTGCCAGGATTGGGTGGGCTTTTTGCTAGATTTTCTATTTGTTTATTCTTTTATTATTATTTTCTCCTCCTCCTCCTCCTCTTCCTGCTCCTCCTTCTTCCTGTTCTTCTTCTTTGTCTCCTCCTCTTCCTCCGCTTTCTCCTCCTTTTTCTTCCTGCTGTTCTTCTTCATCTTCATTTTACAATACCAGTTGTAAATTTCTCCAACATGGAGCAAGCTCAAACAGAAGCAGACAAGTTACAGGTTCAGAGCAGAGCTCTAGTTTTCAGCAAGCAAGCAAGACACGCACCAGAGGAGAGAAGCAGTTTCATTTTCAATAGACAGACTCAGAGCTTAACATAGCTTCAGAGCTTAATATAGAGCCACGCCTAGGCTACTTCTTCAGTTTCAGTTTCCAAACAGTCCTCATTGGCTGACTCAGTTGCTATGCCTATTCATTGGCAGACCTTGTTACCATGCTCTATTCCAGTTCATGATTATACTCTGACATGAATGTTGCGCATGCTTCTCTCATAGAACTGGTGGGAAAAAATTTGGAATCCCACCACTGGTTATACTCTTGGTAGAAAAAATAATGTCCCTGGAATTTCTTTCTTTTTTTTTTCTTTTTGGATTTGCCAGCTGGACAGTTGATGCCATGTTTCCTCTTTATTTTGTGTCCAGTATCACTCCCAGACTTTCTGAGCAGTCAGAATAGCTGTCAGCTGGGAGCTTGTCACCTATCAGTCGGAGATCTGCTTGTGGGACGCAGCCAAAAGTTGACAGCTTCATCTACATGTGGATTGTATGGCCCTCAGAAGTATTGCATTGTGGGATACCTTGAGGTGAGCTTATCGTAATTTATCGTAATGTTTATCGTAAAGTTTATCGTAATGCCAAGAAGATACACACATTGTAGGCATCCCGAATTTGTCATCCATTTCCTTCTGTCTGAAATTTGATCCCATATTTTCAAGGCTAAGCAGCAGAAGAAAACCGTAGAACATAAAATAATAGGGTTAGAAAGGACCTCCTTGGAGATCTTCTAGTCCAGTGGTGGCTCACCGTTTTGGGCTCCTGTGCCAAAAATTGTGCTTGTGCTTGCATGCTTGCGCTCGCGTGCCAGCACCCAGAAGGCAATGCATGCCCCCCCCAGGCCCCCTACGCATGCACGCATAATCCCCACCCACCCACCCCCTTACCTGCCCTGTGCCTCACAGCTGATTTTTGGCTAGTTTGAGGCCTTTTTTGGCCTCCCAAAGGCTTGAGGAAGGCTTCTGCAGGCTTTGCAGGCCAAAAACTAGCCCCATTTCATCACTTCTGGTATTTTCGGAAAAACAGGAAGTGACAAAACGGGGCTAGTTTTCGGCCTGCAAAGCCTGCAGAAGCCTTCCTCATGCCTTTGGGAGGCCGAAAAAGACCTCAAACCAACCGAAAATCAGCTGTGAGGCACGTGCATACTCAGTGAGATATGTTTGCCTGCAGGTCAAGTGCTGGTACAAATGGCTCTGGGCATTTGGCCATAGGTTCGCCATCACAGTTCTAGTCCAACTCTCTGCTCAAGCAGGAGACACTATACTATTTTGAACAAATGGTTGTCTAATCTCTTCTTCAAAACCTCTAGTGATGGAGCAGCCACAAATTGTTCCATTGGTTGTCCCAAAGGTGCTTTTTCAAGAGGCAACTGGACTTTCTGGTTTTTCTTTGAAGACGTTTCACTTCTCATCCAAGAAGTTTCTTCAGAGAGCTGAAGAAGCTTCTTGGAAGAGAGGAGAAACATCTGGGAGCAAAAAGGCTCTTCTGAGGCCAGGAAGGTCCCAAAATGGGGTGTAGAAGGGTCCAAAATAAAAAAGCCACACCCACCCAGTCACATGGCCATGCCCACCTATCCATGCCCACAGAACTGGTAGTAAAATTTTTTTGAATCCCACCACTGAATAAAATCCTTACCCCATCATAAGGCCTAATTCTAAGGATTAGTCAATCGTAAGAACGCTAATCTCTAAATCGGAGCTTTATTCATAAATCAGAAATTACTTAAGAAATATTTCGCAAGCCTGAACTTCTTAAACAGTTTTCTACTCCTTTGTCCCTAAGGAATCCATTTGCTGAATTGCCAAAACATTACATTCATCAATCAGAGATACTTTGAATTTGCCATAAAAGAATTTCTGTTCTTTAAACTCTGCCTGACCTAAGCTGCTTCTTAGTTCTGTCTTGCATTCAGACATTTGTCATCACTGTCAACTTTTCACCCTTCCAGAAAGGCAGAGAGAGAAAAGATGAAGAAGAAAAGAGAGAGATCAGAACACTGTGAGCTTCTACCGCAGGGACAAATTCCTATTCCAGTGATGGCGAACCTTTTTGTTGTGGTGTATCGAAAGTGTACATGCTGGCACCCACAATGCAATGTGCCACGCCCCCCCTGCACATGCGTGTGCAACACCCCCACTCTGCACTGTGCATGTGCGTGCCTCCCAGCTGATTTTCGGCCTGTTTGAGGCATTTTTCACCCTCCTGGAGGCTCGAGGGAAGCCTCTGCAGCCTCGGGAGGCCGAAAAACAAGCATTCCGGAAATGCGGGAAGTGCCCGTTTTCAGCCTCAAGAGAGCCTCTGGAGCCCAGAGGAGGCCATTTTTGCCCTCCTGGAGGCTCGAGGGAAACCTCTGCAGCCTTGGGAGGCTGAAAACAGGCCCATTTCGGCACTTCTGGTATTTCCGGAAGGCCCATTTTTTGGCTTCCTGAGGCTGGAGAGGCTTCCCTCAAGCCTCCAGTGTTATGTCCCTGGAACTTGCCAAAGTTCCCAACCAGGTCCGTTCTTACTGTAGGGGCGTTGACCGCTCCTCTTTGGCTGACTCACCTCGGCAGCCGGCTATAAAAGCCAGCTGCAGGGTCAGGTCAGCCGCTGTTCATTGGGAGCCTGCTACCAGCAGCGCTAACATGTTCAGTCCTTTATTCATTGAATAAAGTCTTGTTGCATTTATGCCCTGGTCTAGCCTCTCATTATTCAATCCACAACACTGGCGACGAGGGTGGGATGGCTACCAGAGGCAAGCAGCAACAGCTGAAGTCACTCCATTGCTGAGCCGAAGCCGCGCCGTTGGAGAGCTCGGCCAGCAAAAGCGAAAGTAGGAGCGTCTGTAGCCGCTCGGTTAGCAAGCTACAGGGGAAATTGAAGCGCTGCGAGCCGCAGCCGAAAAGTGAAGCGCTGCGAGCCGCAGCCGAAAGTGAAGCGCTGCGAGCCGCAGCCGCTCAACACAAAAAGAGCGCGAAATTCAAACGGCTGTCGTTTGAATTTCTTGCCGGAATACAGCGCGGTGCTGTTATTCCGAGTCACTGATGCCCACGCAGGCGCGAAATTCAAAAACGCTGCCAACGACCGTTGCAGCCAAGCCACAATTCGTTAACCCAGAGAGAGCAGAGAGGTTCTGTGGAGCCTCTCCAGAGCGGAAGTACTAGTCTGGCAGCGCTGTAGCCACAGCAGCCACGCTCACCTGGAGCACACAGGCTTGTCACCCAGAGAGAATTTTACAGCCCTGTAACCAACTGAAGTCACAACATGAACTCCAATCCAGCTTTCCCACCGTTCAAGCCTGATGAAGAGAAGTGGGATTCGTACAAAAATCGTTTTAACCACTACATCGATGCCATTGGCCTGGCTGATGCAGGAGAGCACAGGAAGAAGTCATACTTCCTCAGCTACTGTGGAGCCACGGTTTTTGATACCGCCACAGCACTCGTCGCACCACGTGAGTTAAAGAGTGTTCCCTGGGCAGAGCTGCTGGAGACCCTCACCAATCATTACTCCCCCAAGCCCTCGCAGATCGCCAGACGCTTCGCCTTCCGGATGAGGAAGCAAACTGAAGGGGAAACCATCAATCAGTACATGGCCGCCCTAAGGACTGCTGCTCTCCACTGCGAGTTCAGAGACTACTTAGATGACATACTCCTCGACCAGCTCGTCTGTGGGGTCAAGGACCTTCATCTCCAAAGGCGGCTGCTAGCTAGGAAGGACCTCAACCTCTCCCAGGCCGTTGAGGAAGCCTTGGCCGCAGAACTAGCAACCCAGTCAGCTGCAGAAATCCAAGGCCCAGTCTCCAAGCCCAGCTCTACCACCATCCACTCGGAAGTGGTAATCAACGAAGATGACCCCAGCGATCAGACAGACATCCACCGCTTCGCCCAAGCCAAGCAATCACAGGCGGCAACCAGACAGGAAAGCAGCGGGGCGCCCAAGCACATCACCCTGTGCCTATCCTGTGGCAGACCTCACGCGAGGGCCTCATGCAGATTCAAGGGTGCCACGTGCAACAATTGCCACAAGAAAGGCCACATCGCCAGAGTCTGCCAGGCTGCGCACAACCCAACACAAAGGTATCCTCCCTTTTCCCATCCTGGCTCGCAAAGGCAAGTACTAAATTGTCGCACTTGTTTCCATGCTAACCACACCTGTCATTCTATCAGTAAAATCACGCTTTCCATTTTATTAGAAGGTAAGCCTTGCCGCATGGAGGTTGACACGGGGTCAGCGCTCTCAATCATTTCGTGGAACACACTCAAGAAGATCCAGCCCACACTATCCAGAAACCAGCTCCAGAAGTGCCAACTCACCTTGAGAGACTACCAGGGGAAGGACATCCCGGTACTCGGCAAAGGCAAGTTCCTTGTTAATTTTAAAGCTTTCAAAGGCCATCTGCCTCTAGTGGTAGTTAACGGCAACCTCCCTAGTCTCCTGGGGCTTGATTGGTTCCCCTATCTCGGCCTTGAGGTAACAGGGGTCCATGCTGTCTCAGCTTCTGACACTGACTCCTTATTCACTGACTACTCCGACGTATTCAGCGATGAGTTAGGGTGTTATAGCGGAACCCCCATCTCATTTTCAGTAGACCCCCAAGCAGTTCCCGTGCGGCTGAAGCCACGTAGGGTACCATTCGCCATTCGGCCTAAGCTGGACGCGGAACTTGACAAACTGTTAAAGCAAGGGGTCATTGAACCCACAGACTTCGCCAAATGGGAGACACCAATTGTCACACCCCTTAAGAAGGATGGCAGTCTGAGAATTTGTTCTGATTCCAAGACAACAATTAACCGTTTCCTACAAGTTAGTGCTTACCCAGTTCCGGTCATTCAGCATTTACTGCACACCTTCGAGCCTGGCACCATTTTTGCCAAATTGGACATGTCGCAAGCGTACCAACAGTTTCCTGTTGACAACCAAACAGCCGATTTACAAACTATTGTGACCCACAGGGGTGCATTCAGGTGCAAGCGCCTCCAATTTGGCGTAAGTGTTGCCCCAGGCATTTTCCAGTCCCTAATGGAACGTATCCTACAGGGCCTCCCTGGCCTGGTACCCTACTTCGACGATATATTGGTCTCGGCCAGGGACAGACCCCAGCTCTTCCAGAGAGTCAGAGCAGTGCTAGACAGGTTCAGACAGCATGGCCTCAAGTTAAAAAGGGAGAAATGTGCCATTGCCACGAGACAGGTGGACTTTCTAGGCTATAGAATTGACGCATCAGGCATCCACCCCCTAGAATCCAAAGTCAAGGCAATCCATGAGGCACCCACTCCAACTTCTAAAGCCGAGCTACAAGCCTTTTTGGGATTATTAAATTTCTATGCATCGTTTCTACCTCACAAAGCCTCAGTAGCAGAGCCCTTACACAGACTTTTAGATAAAAAATCACCATGGCACTGGGGACACAAGGAAGACACCGCATTTCACGCAGTCAAGTCGCTACTCACATCAGACGCTGTCCTCATACAATTTGACCCACGACTTCCTTTAGTATTAGCAGCAGATGCGTCCCCTTATGGGATTGGAGCTGTGTTAAGCCACAGACTATCCAACGGCTCCGAGGCACCAATCGCTTTCTTTTCCAGAACACTCTCAGCAACAGAGCGTAATTACAGCCAAATTGATAAGGAGGCTTTAGCCGCAGTTGCAGCAGTAAAGAAATTTCATGAATTCCTTTTTGGCCACAACTTCGAACTTATCACAGACCATAAACCTCTCCTGGGTCTTCTATCCGGAGACAAGCAGACCCCACAAGTGTTGTCTCCCAGGATGACGAGATGGACCTTGTTCCTGGCGGCATACTCGTACAAACTCATCCACCGCCCAGGGAAAACCTTAAGCCACGCAGATGCCCTCAGCCGCTGCCCCCTGCCAGCTCCAGCTGAGGATCCGGCCCCTGTCCATGCCATCTTCGATGTCACCGAGCTCGACCTTCCTGTCACCGCCCTCGACATTGCCACCAAATCTAAGACTGACAGAACAATCGCCCAGTTACTGGACTGGGTGAGGAGGGGGTGGCCGGGCACTAACCTTGCAACCGAATTCACACCTTTTAAGACCCGTCAACAGGAACTATCTAGCTTACAGGGCTGTCTGTTGTGGGGCACCAGAGTCGTTATTCCGGCCGCGCTATGCACGCCAGTCCTAGAGGCACTGCACAAGGGACACCCGGGCATCGTCCGGATGAAGGCGTTAGCTCGAAGTTATGTCTGGTGGCCCGGCCTGGACGACGACATCATCAAGTGGGTAAGCGCTTGCCAGCCCTGTCAGGAATCCAGACCAGCCCCTCCAGTCACCACTCCCACTAAGTGGGAGAGCGCCAACGCACCATGGTCCAGGCTTCACATCGACCTAGCCGGACCAATGCAAGGTAGAACCTTCTTGGTGGTTGTAGATTCATACTCCAAGTGGATCGATGTGGCCCAGCTATCCACCACCACCACGCAAGGAGTTACCAAGGCCTTGACCCGTCTATTCATGACACACGGTCTACCGGACACTATAGTCTCGGACAATGGCCCCCAGTTTGCCTCAACGGAATTCAGCCACTTTGCCACCAACCTTGGCATTCGACACATCCTCACGGCCCCCTTTCACCCTGCCAGCAACGGATTGGCAGAGAGAGCCGTTAGGTCCACGAAAGAAGCGCTAGCCAGATTCAACAAAGAGGACTGGCATCACAGACTCTCCCGCTTCTTACTGAGCCAACACTCAACCCCGTGCACGGTCACCAACAAGTCACCGGCTGAACTCCTGTGGGTAGGCGCCTAAGAACTGTGTTGGATAGGCTACACCCTCACTATTGCCCTGACACCCCTCTTGGTTCAATGGCGGGGGTCAGAGATTTTGTCTTGCAGGAACGTGTCTTTGCAAGGAACTACGCCGGAGACCCACTGTGGATACCAGGGGAGATCGTGGCCATCACCGGTCCCAGGTCATACCGAGTCCAGCTGGAAGACGGCCGCATCTGGAGAAGGCACCTGGACCAGCTCAGGAAGCGCCAAGGTACCCTCGCCAGTGTTGGATCATGGGCACAGGTCAGCTCCCAGGTACCACACCAAACCCTCATCGGGGACCATCCCAGGGGCTCTTCGCCTTCACCACCCGAGCCGGGAGAACGGGCTACAGACCGAGACTGCCCGGTGGACCCGCCATCCGTGCCATCTAATGGAACCACGGCATCGCAGACCGGAAGCCCTACACCGACACCAACGCAGGCCCCCGAGCAAGACCACACTCCATCACCAACCCTACCCGCGTCTTCGAACTCTGGGTCACCCGGTAACTCGCCCGAGTTACGGCGCTCGGGGCGCCAGCACAGACCACCCGCTTATTTAAATGACTATGCGTGTTCGCATCTGGGGGGAAGGGGTGTTATGTCCCTGGAACTTGCCAAAGTTCCCAACCAGGTCCGTTCTTACTGTAGGGGCGTTGACCGCTCCTCATTGGCTGACTCACCTCGGCAGCCGGCTATAAAAGCCAGCTGCAGGGTCAGGTCAGCCGCTGTTCATTGGGAGCCTGCTACCAGCAGCGCTAACATGTTCAGTCCTTTATTCATTGAATAAAGTCTTGTTGCATTTATGCCCTGGTCTAGCCTCTCATTATTCAATCCACAACATCCAGGAGGGCAGAAATGGCCTCAAACGGGCCAAAAATCAGCTGGGAGGTGTGCACATGCGCGATGCGGTTAAGTTTGGCTGGGGCAGGGAGTTGACTAGATGATCTACAAGGTCCCAATTCTGTTAATCTGTAATTCTTAGTTGCTTCAGTTGGCTGTTCCCAAATCATGTGGCCTTTATATTATGGAGTTAATTCTGCTTTCTCTCTCCTTGGTGAGATTTCCTGGAAAGAGGATAGACTTTTCAGGAAAGAGAACAGACAGAGTCAGACACAGGAGGCTTAGGATTGTGAGGTGAAATTATCTTTCATCTCCATCAAATCCCGAGAATGAGGCCATTGTTCCCTTCTCACTTCTGAGAGCAATGAAGCAGGGAAGTGTGAAAAGCACAGGGCGTGTACAAATAAACTTTTCTGTCAGCTCATCTTCCTTCTTGGTCTCTGGCGCTTGCAGAGTGGTTTATGCAAGGGGGGTTTGAAATCCGTTAGTCTATATACGGTATTCAGCAGGTTCTGACCAGTTCTGGAGAACCAGTCACGGAAATTTTAAGTAGTTTGGAGCAATGGTCACCAAGCAGTGAGCCGGGGGAGCAATGGTGATCCACGAGAAAATTTTGGTGGTCTGCAGGAAAATGTCACCCCCAAAGCACCCCACAAAGCAATTAATCCAGGCTGCATGGGAACACAAGGCTGCGCCACCTACATGGCCCATGGGAACACAAGGCTTGCGTCGCTTGCATTGCGAACAACATGAGGTAGTGAGGGAAGTGGGGAAAGGGCGGAGAGGGGAACTTGCCCCACTCACCCCATGCTCCTTGCCTGGCCACTGGGCTGTTTCTTTCTGCTTCTTTGTTCTGCTGCTTTTGGCTGCACGCAAGGAAAGCAGCAAAAGTTTTTCTTTCTCTCTGCCAAACTCCACCAGAAATGAGTCTTTGGGACCTGCAAGGCCTCCTGCTCCAAAAGGCTGTGCCGGCACGACAAGTCTCACAAAGACTCATTTCTGGTGGAGTCTGGGGGAGAGAAAGAAAGACTTCTGCTGCTTCTGCTGCTTTCCTTGCATGAAGCCAAAAGTTTCTCTCCCCCTGAGAACAGAACTGGAGACAGTATCCTGCAATCCCAAAAAGAGAACGAAATGATTGGTAGGAAAATGGGGTGAGGAATTTTCCTGCAGACCTTTTTGGGGATTTTCCCAGGGTCTCTGCTCCGTGGGATTTAAAATTATGAGTTTGGTGGTCCCTGAGGTCCAAAAGGTTGGTGACCCCCTGGTTTGTAGAACCGGCAAATACCACGTCTGACTAGCCCCACCCCCATCTATTCTCTGCCTCCTGTTGAGTCCCAGCTGATCAGCTAGGTCTTCTTTGGTTGCCCTGCACAGGAGAATGGAGCTGGAAAGCAGGTTAGTGGGGTGGGGAGGGAATGGGAATTTTACAGTATCTTTCCCCTGCCATGCCCACCAAGCCACACCCACAGAACTGGTAGTAATTTTGTTTGAATCCCACCACTGCATTGATCTACTAAGAAATCATCACCACTGAACACCCCAAATAAGATCAAAGAGAAAATTTGTGTCTGCCCTTTCTTAGGATACGAAGAAATGCTTCACCTGTGATTCCAGGCAGCCCTACCACCCACTTTTCCAAACCAACAGCCACTCCATTGAAAACGTGGTCACCCGTTTGGAACGCGACCAGAAGAAATGGTGGCAATCTGAAAACGGTGAGTTGGCTTCGGTCGGTTTTATTACTTTTAGCCAGTTTGCTTCTGCTGTTTATTTGTCCAACTTCCATCTGACCATTTCATGAGCAAAGTGGCAGATCCTTGTCTCTGGATGGTATTTGGCCAGAAAGGTTAATACTTGTTGGTAGCAAAATCAGGTTCTAAAATTATCCAACGAAACCAATTGATGGCTCGGTGCCTAACATCAAGCAGAGGGACAGCCATTTCCTGCAATAGCTGTCACATTTGGAATGATAGGAGATTTCAATTATTTGCAGCATCATTGAATATCTTCTATTTAACAGAATAATAGAGTTGGAAGGGGCCTTGGAGGTCTTCTAGTCCAACCCCTCTATTCAAACAGGAGAGAGTATACCATTCCAGAGAAGTGGTTGTCCAGTCTTTTCTTAAAAGCCTCCAGTGATGAAACATCCACAACTTCTGAAGGCAAGCTGCTCCAGTGATTAATTATTCTTACTGTTAGGAAGTTTCTCCTTAATTCTAGGTTAGTTCTCTCCTTGTTTAGGTTTCTATCCATTGTTTCTTGTCCTTCCTTCAGGTGCTTTGGATAATAGGTTGATCCATCTCTTCTTTCTGTGAGCCCCTTAGATTCTGGAGCAAATCTGTCATGCCCCCCAGTCCTTCTTCTCTCTAGACTGGCCATACCCAATTCCAACAATCGTTCTTTATATGTTTTAGTCTCCAAGCTCTTAATCATCTTGGTTGCTCTTCTCTGCACTCTTTCCAGAGACTCAACATCTTTTTTAATAATGTGGTGACCAAAACTGGATGCAGTATTTCAGATGTGAAATACCTGGATGCTAAAGATTTAAATATTTTAAGATGCTAAAATGACACTAGCCCATTAATTAAGTTGGAGAAATGCAAGAAGGAAAAAAAAACAGGATCAATAAATTATACATTTGAATGTTTGCAATTTTTATACCACTAATACATCCATTTATTATGATCTAAAATGAATGGAATCAGATAGAATAAGAATTTGTGCTTTGTAAGCCTTGCACATTGTGTGTGTGTGGGGGGGGGCATTCCTTGTAAAATAATTGTGATCATTCTGATAATAATCAAGATAATTATCAAAATTGTTTGAGAGTTGGAAACATAAGCCATCAAATTGAGTTAGTTAAGAAAATGAACCTCAGAGGTACCACAAAATGTCAATCCTCTGGCCATTTTCTTTTGAAAACAAAACATATCCTTGAAGTGGTTTCTATAGGATAAACCCTAAATGCAATTGATTCATCAGAAAGACAATAAATATTTTCTTACTTTTTGTTCATTTTCCTATGACCTGCATCTGGCTTATTAATTTGCAGGTGTTGACCATGTCAGTATTCAGCTGGACTTGGAAAACATCTTTCAGTTCAGTCATCTTATTCTGATTTTCAAGGTACCAAAAATACACTATTTACATTATTTAATCTCCTGGTAATTATTTAGAGTATTTAATTTATTTATTTTTATTTATTTGATTTGATTTGTCAATTGCTTACAAGATAATAGGCATAAGTATAAACATAGTTATGAATACATGAAATGGATACATATAAGAAAAATAAAAAGAAACAATAGGACAGGGACAGTAGGCACGTTGGTGCGCTTATGCATGCCCCCTACAGACCTCTTAGGAAAAGGGTGAGGTCAATAGTAGACAGTCTATGGTTAAAGTTTTTGGGGTTTGGGGAAGAAACCACAGAGTCAGGTAGAGTATTCCAAACATTGTTCAGGCAATGCCTGCTTTTATCTTGTTTAGAATCAACATTGTGCATCTCAGAATTACTTAGCTGCTGTTGACTAGGATCCACGATCACCTGGAAGGCAATTTACCTTTTGCAAAAGAAAAAAAAAGATATGCACTTTTTTTATGCTTAGCAAAAAAGGGGGGGGGGATTTACCCCTTTCAGCATTTTTTTCATATTTAAGAGTTCCTAAATTCAGCCTATTTAGGATTTCAAAATGGGCACTTTAGCCTGACTTCCCGATGCCAAGATCTGCAACGGTTCCGCATAAACTGTTCATGCTTCAGCTAATGTTTATAGCAACAATTCAGTGAGGCGTATCGTCTCCTCAGCTTTTAAATCTGATTTAAATCTGGTTAAGGCTTGTCTGTAGCCACAGGTAAAACAGGAGAGATTTGCAGTATGTGTTTGAGCAGGAATGCACAGATTGCTTGCATTCTACTGATGGCTTAAGTCATGGAGTCCCCAACACCCAGTCCTGTTCTGACCTAGGCATCCCAAAAGCATGAAGCCAACTCCTTGTCCCGATAGAACCCCTTTTTATTTAAGTTAGAGGGAATTCCTCTCCAGCAAAGTCCCGGCCAACAGTCTTTCAAAAGATTTCACAACTACAGACCTTTATCAGGCTTGGAGAGTTGCCAAGCCGATATCTTCCAAAAGCTATTGTCTGTAGCAGACAATACTTGGCAAGGAATCAGGAACAGATCTTCACCCTAATTTAATGAACTAATTGTCTCCTGCAAGACACCACTCCTCTTTCGCTCCTGTTTATTCCCTATGCCGTTCACCATCCATCTGTGGCTTTACTTCCCAGTCAAACCCTGTTCCTTAGCTGTTCCCTTCTTCTGGTAGCTCTGCGCATGTGCACACTGGGAGCAGGCTCCAGCTCTTCTTCTGCCCCACTGAACTCTGACTCCAAAGGCAGCTGATAATTATCGGACGGCCCTGGCTCCATCTCTGCCTCCAACGCAGAGCCCTTGTCAGAACATTCCCCAGAATCCAGGATTCCTCCCCAACTTCCTCACTGTCCAAATCTGCCGCCAGCTCTGCTGGCCGCTGGCAGGCCACGACAGGTCGGAGCATGCCAGCAAGCAGACCGCGCAAACAAGCAAAGCCACATCCATGGGATGCAGGTAGGGGAGGGCAAAAAAATGGGCCTCCCATAAGTTCAGGAAGGCTGGAAATGGGCCTGTTTCTGGCTTCCAGAGAGCCTCTAGAATCTGGAGAGGCCATTTTTGCCTTCCCAGAGGCTCAAGGAAAGCCTCCGGAGCCTGGGGAGGGCAAAAAGAGCCCCCACCACCATGGTGCAGGAGGCCGACTAGGCCACACCCACCATGGCCACGCCCAGCCAGCAACCGGGCAGAGAACCCATTGCTAAAATTTTTGAAGCCCATCCCTGGTCTCAGATGCTTAAGTGTTCATAGCATAAAGTCATACCAATCTGAAGGTGTGTATTTCTCTTATAGACTTTTCGTCCCGCCGCCATGTTGGTGGAGCGTTCTGCAGATTACGGTCAAACCTGGAAGGCCTATCGATATTTCGCACAAAACTGTACTGCTTCTTTTCCGGACATTCCTTCAAGGCCACCCAAAGAGGTTGGAGACCTCGTGTGTGACTCCAAATATTCAGATATCGAACCATCAACCGAAGGGGAAGTATGTATCTGATTTCACTTGATTGATTTGGATTCTCGGTACAATTACAAATGTCCATGATTGTGATAATAATCACAAAAATAACCAGAGACAGTGAACAAGAGCTTCATTATTAAGCTTTTGCCAAAGGGAATTCTGCTCATGGCAGAAGACATGGTTCCCAGGAGGGCTGGGGTTTATATACAGGTTGAAATATGCAGTCTCTGCCCCTTCCTGGGTTCACAATCTATCCAAGCTACGTATCTTCCTACGCCACACCCATAGCAAAACACCTGTTTCCTTGTCTTTGGAAACTATCTTCATTCTCATGGCTTCTTCCTGTTATGTCCATCGAAGCACAATGGATCATTAACAGGTTTCTGTTGGGTCAGAATGACTTAAAATCTCTGACATTAATCCTTAAGCCAAGATTACAAACCGTCACCCCAGCCAAGAACATGACATTTTACTTTCAAAATATAACATGTTACAAAACATAATATGTTTGTTAAATACAGTTACATCACTGTCCAATAATAATTTCATAGGTCATATTTCGGATAAACATGGAATCTCTTCTGTTCTTCATTTTCTCAGGAGTAACTCACAATATATAATTTCTACATATAACAATGATGTACAATAGTGTTCAAATTGCCTTGAAGTCAGAAAGCTGCCAGAGAGTTTTTATGGTTCATTCTGTAGTTAAAGTACAGGTAGTCCTCGACTTACAACAGTTTGCTTAGTGACTGTTTGAATTTACAACGGCACTGGAAAAAGAGATTTATGACCGTTTTTCACAATTATGGCCACTGCACTCATGTGATTAAAATTCAGGTGCTTGGCAACTGACTCCTATTTATGACGGTTGATCCCCTTTTGCAACCTTCTGACAAGCAAAGTCAATGGGGAAGCCAGGTTCACTTAACAGTTGTTACTAACTTATCAACTGCAGGAGATTCACTTAATGACCGTGGCAAGAAATGTCATAAGATGGGGGCAAAACTCACTTAACAAACGTCTCACTGAACAACAGGAATTATTGTCGTATTGGCAAGGACTGAATGTTTTCCTTCCCTGCACTTATCCTTATAAATATTTTTGGGGGATTTTGACAGGTTATTTTCAAAGTCCTGGATCCCAGATTTGAAATAGAAAATTCTTATGGTCCGTACATCCAAGGTAGGAATAGTTGGGATTTGAACGGTCCTTTACCAATTCTTTTTTGCTTTGATTCTTTTGATAACTCAGGGGTAGAACACAACTGTTAACAGGGTGAAGGGCCCTTGGTGCACTCTGAACTTGCTTGTTCTCTCGCTGACATTTCATGACCAAACTAGGTAACATCATCAGTGCTAGAAGGGGGTGGGCTTTGTGTAGAGGAAGAGGAAGAGGAGCAGGAGAAGGAGCAGGAGGAAGAGCAGCAGCAGCAGGAGGAGGAGGAGGAGCAGGAGGAGGAGGAGGAACAGGAGGAGGAGGAGCAGGAGGAAGAGCAGGAGGAGGAGGAGCAGGAGGAGGAAGAGGAGCAGCAGGAGGA